GTACAAAGATGCCACGTGGGCTGGAGGTGGTCCTGGTGACAGCACTGCCATCCATCCTTTGTAACCACTTTTCTTCTCCTTCTCCATGCCAGACCCTCATCCATAGTTAAGTCATCCCAGACTCTTACCGTTTCCGCCTCCTACTTGGCCCTCAAATCAATCTCCTTGTGCCGCCTCCACTATCATTTGCCAGATTCGGCAAATACAAGTACAGAGCTCCCAGTGAAATTTGAATTTCATATAAAGAACAAATCATTTTTAGTATAACTATACCCCATGCATCCTTCTGTCCTTCCTTTGTGGTTCTAAGAATCCTGGCTTTTACTCCAACCCACACTGTGCCCAGACAAAAGAACACATTGCTGCCCAGATATTCACACCCACACTTGCACCTTCACCACTGGAAGCTGGGTCTGTCTGCTGCCCCTCCACCCACTCCACATTTCCTCAGAAAAAAAAGGCACCGAGATGTTTGACTTTGTTTGATATGGGGTTGGGCCCTTTCATTTTTTATTTTTATAAATCTCTTTTTCAGAATTAATTATATTTTGTCATTTTATTATTATTATTGTTTTTATTTGACCACAGAGAGAGAGAGAGAAACAAAGGGAAAGTGAGAGAGCAAGCCGCCAGGTCCAGGACTTGAACTACAGTCAGCCATGTGGGAGTCCAGCGCCTTAACCACCACTCTACCTGCTGGACTGAGACTGCACCCTTTCATGCACACCAAGAAATGTTTACTTTTCATGTATGTATTCTTGCAAAGTTCAGGGTTATGGGCCTCGGTGTTGGCTCTCAAGTCGCTGTGGCCTCCTCATTCCTCAGAGTGGGATCAGGACATAGTTCCTCCTGGCTGTCCCCAGCATCAGAACACCAGTCATTGCAAATGGGCTCCCACATCCTTTCCCAGAACGCACTGGGAATGTAGCCTGTAGGCCCCTTAAAAAGTGCACTAACCCTTGGGACCAGCAGTTGGCGTAATGGCTATGTCGCTGGACTCCCACATAGTCAACCACGATCCGAGTCCCGGACCCAGAGGCTTAAACTCACGCCGGGCACATGTTTGTGTGTGTCCAAGATCCAGAGAGGAGAATGGAGGAAAAGGGATTGTGGCGCGGTGATTTCTCGCTGTCTCTCTCTTGTCTTTCTGGAGAGCACACATGCCCTATAGCAGAAACCTCTCCAAAAAAAAAAGTGCACCATCCCATGTGAGGTACACTGCTCAGCCCTGGGAATAGGTATTACACACCCAGGTACCTACTCCCTCAAAAGAGAAGCTTCTGTACGCCAGTGGTGTGATCTTGAGAGACTCCAACTCTAAAACATGTATGTAAGTCATCTAAATGTCACTTACTTAGCTTTGAGGGTCTCAGTGTAAAAACAAAAGGAAACAGTGGAATCCTACGTAATATTCACAAACCCTTCGTGCACTGCTAGAAGTTTAACACTCTAATGCAGTGGTCCCCAACCTTTTCGGCATCAGGCACCAGATCTGTAGAAGACAATTTTTCCATGAACTGGGGCACGGAAGGAGGAGTTGGGATACTTCAAGCATTTTACATTTATTGTGCACTTTATTTCTATAATCATTACCTTGTAATATATTATGAAATAATTGTACAACTCACCACCATGCAGTATTTGCAGCCGCTCCCCAGAGCTAGCATCACCACCTCAGCTTGACCTAGATCATCGGGCATTAGATTCTCACAAAGA